ACCAGCTGTATGACCCCGGGTGAGTCACTTCACCCCAATTGCTTCCCCCAAAACAAACAGACAAACAAAAAAAGAACGCAGGTTGGCACCTTCTCTGTTGTGGTCTTAGAGAAGTGCTTAGAGCAATGTGATGCTAAATGGAGACCAAGGTTACACTGCTATTCTGTATCAGAAGACAGATCTTCCCAGCTTCGAGACCAGCTCACTATGCCACACTGCCACCATGATGATGATGATGAATGTTTCTATATAGTGCTTTAAGTCAAATGTTTTATATAGGTTATCCCATTGGACTATAGGAACAACCTTGTGATGCTATCATTACCCCCACTTTACAGAAAAGGAAATTGAGGCTGGGAGAAATTGTGACTTGCCCAGGGTCACCACCATACAGAGCTCAAATTTGAGTTTCCTTAGCTCCAAGTCCGACACTCACTCCTCTCTCTGGAGTCAGAAGGCCTCAGTTTAAGGCCCTTTTCTGCTACTTGTATTTGTGCTCTGGGCAAATGACTTCCCCTCTCTAAGGAAACTAACAGTTTCCTCCTTTGTAAAACTAGGAGGTCAGGCTAAATGACTCCAAAGATTCCTTCCAGCTTTGAATCCGATGATCCTGTGACTCCCAGACCAAGGACTCTTACTAAGACACCAGCCTGCTCCAGCTACCTAATAGTCAAATACTTTGAATGGGGGAACAGAGGGATTTTAGGGGATACACAGCTCATGGAGACTGGGGGGAGGGACAGGGAAGAGGCAGACTGTGGGATTCAGTGACTCCTAGGGATCAATGAGACTGGCTCAATTTCCAGGCCACCCCCAGCCCCATCCTCATCCCTATGGCTGGGCCAAGGAAACTGTTCCCAAGAATTTCTCTCCCAGCTTCTGTCTCTTCAGGACATCCCCAGGTTTAGTCCAACCCCAGATTTATAATACAATAAACACGTGCTAAGTGCCTGCTTTATACAGAAAAGACTGTGCTCCAGACAGAGCGGAGATTTAAAAAAAAAAATCATCAAGTTATAATCTGGTAGGAATTGAGACACCCATAACTCCAATATTCAATATTATATAATCAGTGTAATACAGGTGTATAATACAGGTGTAAACCAAGTGTTAGACAAAATCTGGGGGGCATAGGTCATTACCAACTGCCTAATCTAATCCAACCTTCTCATCTGATAGATGGGGAAACTGAGACCTAGAAAAGGGAGACAACTTGTCTGGCATCATCTAGTAAGTTAGTGCCAAAGCCAAGGCTAAAAACCAGGTCTCTTGAGCCAGGTCCAGTCTTCTTTCTAAAGAAAAACCGAGGGGATCCACTACTGATCTTCCATTCCTCTCCCTACCCCCACCAGCCCCCTCCATCCAGCTGGTCCTGCCTTGGATTTGATACACAGGTGTTTGGTACCTACCTCTATGGGTACATGTCCATTAGAATGTAAGTTCTTTGAGGACAGACACTTTTCTCTTTGTAGCCCAGGGATTAGCACAGTACCAGGCCCATAGGAAACATTTAATAAATGCTTTTTGATTGGCTGATGCCTGTAAAGCTCAAATGAGCTAATTATCTAAGGCATTTATTTGCAAACAGTGCGTTAATATTATCACCACCACCCTCATCATCATATCTATCCGATTTCATTCAAAGTACTCTCTTTCCAAATCTCCCAGTGGAAAGCCCCAGCTCCTTTTAACCCAGTTTGGGTTACTTTGGCCCTGGTAGGTGGGGGTTTCTTTTTTTGAGCTGGCAGAGGGTGCAGGAAATGTTTGTTTTGGTTTCCAAATCTATGCTCAGCGACCTTGTCAATGTTATGGTTTCGATGACCACATTTTTCTAGTAATTTCTTGAATAAAGGATGGTGCCTCATACAGAACTGCTCTAACTCTGATTTGAAAAAGTCCCCAAGAAGGGGCGGGAAAGCAAGGACCTGAGGGGGGCAGTCCTCAGGGCTAAGAATAGCTTCTCCTCCCCCTGAGTCGAAGAATCACAGAATTGGGAAACTGGAAGAGATCTCGGGGGTGAACCCAAGCTCAGTCCCCAGAGAAATCCAACACAAGGTAGGGGCTTGGAGACCTGGACATGTTTGTCCCTCCTGCCAACCTATCACTGGACTTTGTAACCACTACCCTTCCCATCCACCCCCAACCCCTGCCAAATCTCTAGGATAGAACCCCAATGGATAACTGACAGGAGGAACCTTTGTCTGAGAAAGGAACACATTAGAGTCATATAGTCCTAGAACATCAGGGCAGAACCAGCTCTCAGAATACTGAATGGCTGAGCTAGGAGAGGCCTTAGGACATAGAACGTCAAAGAAGGGTCTTAGAACATAACAATGTCAGAACTGGAAAGAGCAATAATGTTAGATCAGTAAGAAACCTTAGACCGTAGAATATTCTAACTTGAAAAGACCTTAGAAATCATCAAATCTAAATCTCTCCTTTTGTACATGGGGAAACAGGAAAGAGGTCCAGGGAAATAGGCTGTAAACTCCTTAACAGTATCACTTTTCCTTATCGTATGTCCTTTCTATAATGCTTTCAGTTCATGCTCATTGGGTCAAGTTGGCCCAAAGATACATATACAGCATGGCAATCCCCAAGTGTAGGGCCTCTCAGCTTGCCTGAGTATAAGGACCTGAGCTTACCTCAGAGAAAAATAATTCCAAATGCCTAGACACGAGCTGTCCCGAGCAATGATGATATAGCCAACAGACGCAATGTCCTCATAAAAGACCCAACCAGAGACACACAAACGTACTTGGGCACACAGAAACGCAGAATTCAGAGATACTCTCACACCTCGCTCCCAGAAAGTATAAACCAGCCAGGAGTCAGAGTCTGGAATAGGACTACTGAAAGGGTCAGAATCAATGGGTTCAAGGCCATGAAGACACAAACATACTAACACTAGCTTGACCCAGCCTTCCAGCTAGCTCATTCCAGGCCTCAGTATCCCCATTGCACTTGTCCCCATGCCTTGCTCTCTTGGCAAAAGCAGAACTGATCTTTTGACTATCAGTTCTCTGATACCCCTGGGAGGACTCAAACAAGGTGGTTGACACCTTTGCTTTGGAGAAATTAAGAGGGAAACTCCTCTAAAATGGAGGTCATCCCCCAATTAACAGACAACAAAATAAAATAAAGCAGTAAGACACAATTGTCTTAGGAGAGAGGAAAGAGACAAGAGATGAGGAAGGCTCCCATGACCCTCTCCTTGCCAGCATACCCACGTCTCAAGCATTCCAAGCCCATGCCAGGGGCTGACATCATCCCCACTCCCTGGGTGCCAGTGTGTTGTAATGTTGCTCAATGCCCCTTGTAAGATTGAGCACAGTTTCTTCTATCTCCTTAGTACCCAAGTCCAAAGAAAACACACAAAACAAAGCCCCAAAACAACAGAGACTGGTAGCATGATGACACTATGGCACCATGATCCACAGCAGGGAGGCTGGCACCAAATCCATCCCTCCCCAGTGAGGTCTAGGGTCTGTTTCCCCATTGCCCATTCCCCACCAACACAGTGGTGATTTTTTCTCCAAGGTGGTTGGGGAGACCAGGCCATAGCCAAGTTCTCCAAATACTTGGGGTGGGGGTAAGGATAGAGAGAGGGAGAGAGAGAGGAGAGAGGGGCTGGAATCCCATTCCCTCAATGGATTGTATGAACTACCTACAGCATCCCTGGCATACTTAGCCCAACCTTTCCAGACTGCAGGGAATCACTGTTCAGGGTCTCAGGCCCCTTTTGGAGAAGGATGCTCACTGAAGGTTTGGGGGAATAACCCAGCCCAACTATGGCATACTTAGAAGTGGCAGGAAGAGAGACCGGATCAGGATGGGGTATGGTGCTCCCTCCCTTGCAGACACAAATGCAGAGGCCTGGGCCAAACAGCACACCTCTTTTTAACATAAATCAGAAAAGTTAGAGAGCCTCTCCAAAAGGGATGGGTCTCACTGAAGGCCTATGATCAGGGCATCTCCAAAGCCATATGGCACCATCACTGTAACCCAAGACCAGCGAGGGCTTCTCTCATTAGCTCTTCTGGTGGAAGGGGGGGAAATAGGGGACTGGAAGGGGGCTCCCAAATGCATAGGAGGAAGAAGATAAAGGAGAGGGAACAAAGGAGAGAAATCTCTGCTTTCACCCAGCAGAGAAATCTTAATAGACAGGAAAAAGACAGGCAGCCAGACAAAACTGTCAACTGGGCTCCAATCAGGAAGTAACCTTAGTTCTCCCCTTCATTCCCCCACCCCAAGCTGAGGATATAATGGGCTGGAGAGACCAGCAGCAGGGCAGTGCAGTCCTGCAGGACCGGGATACCCATCCTCTGAAGTCAATCTGCCCTGCTACTTGTGAGAGGGGGACCCCAATACATTTGTCCCCCACGCCCCCCTATTTCTACCATAGTAAGTTTTTGTCCTCACTGAATGCTGGGGTTGTGAGGCTAAGGCCAACATGAATGGGAAGGTTTAAAGAGCTTTGTTTGAAGGGATCCTTTAAAGCAATCCCACGTTTCCCAAGGCCATACTTCTGCGCTGTTAATGGAGGAGGCTTTTTAGGCCTAGTCAGCTAGCCCTGAAACCATCTGGTCCAGGCTTCAGCCCAACTCCGCGAGGTACGGGGAGGCTCACACTCCCACCCAAACCAGGGACTCTAGGTCAGGGTGGAGGGAGGGAAGGGGAGGTATTAACCCCTCGATTTTAACCCAGTTGGCATCATCCTTGTTTTAAGCGATGTCTGCTTTGTCCGGGGCTAAGAGTGCCTGTTAAGCACATAGTAAGTGCTTAACAATACAAGCTTTTTATCAGAGAAGGGTTAAAGTCACAGAAGTAGCGGTTGTCCTGGGGAGCTCCTACTATGTGCGGGGCACCGTGCTGAACACTGGGGCTACAAAGAAAGGCAAAAGTCAACCCCAGCTCTCCAGGAGCTCCCGGACAGAGGGTGGAGGGGCTGGAGGGGGTCCCCAGATTGGGGTGGGGGAGGCATTCTCGACGTGACTCACTTCTTCTTGTACTCGTCCCGCTCCCGCTTCACCTTGGCCAGCACGTTGTAGAGGGCCCGGATCTCGGGGGTGATGGTGTCGATCTGCACGCCCACGCCGTCGGGGTGCACCCAGGACACGCCGGGGCCCTGCACGGTCTCCACGCCGCCGCCGCCCGTGCGCCGGACCTGCGTGTAGCTCCAGATGGTGCCGGGCAGGCGGCTGTAGTGCTGCGGGTGCGAGCCGCAGGCGCCCGGGGGCACGTTGCCGTTGGCGCCGAGCTGCGGTGGCGGCGGCGGCTGCTGCTGCGGGGGGTGCGGACCGGCGGCGCGGGCCAGGGCCAGAGCGAGCTCGGGGCCCGTCTGCACCGCCTGCTCGCGGGAGAAGGTCTTGTAGCGCAGCCGGCGCTCGCGCTCGCTCTGCTGCTGCTCCAGCTGCTTCTCCAGCAGCCGGTTGCGCCGCTCCAGCTCGTGCACCTTGGCCAGAAAGCAGCGGAAGCGCACGTTGAGCCCCTTCAGGAGGTA